AGGTTGTTTCAGGGTTCCATCTGTGAGTTAGCCATGCCATGACTTAGATCAGCCCAGAGGTTGTTTCAGGGTTCCATCTGTGAGTTAGCCATGCCCTGACTTAGATCAGCCCAGAGTGTGTTTCAGAGTTTGATCTGTGAGTTAGCCATGCCCCGACTTAGATCAGCCCAGAGGTTGTTTCAGGGTTCCATCTGTGAGTTAGCCATGCCCTGACTTGGATCAGCCCAGAGGTTGTTTCATGGTTCAATCTGTGAGTTAGCCATGCCATGACTTGGATCAGCCCAGAGGTTGTTTCAGGGTTTGATCTGTGAGTTAGCCATGCCATGACTTGGATCAGCCCAGAGGTTGTTTCAGGATATCAATAAAATTTAAAGTTTTTTCAAATCTAGTAATAGCTAAGAATGGCCGTAAACACAGCATCTCAGACACTTTAAATCAAAAGAAGAACAGAAGAGATCACTAATATACTTTACCTCTTGCAATGAGCCTTCCATTGGAAGATAAACAAGAAGAGTCATTGAACGCATTAGATCACCAACCTATGAGATAAACCATTGAATTACTTTGAATAACAAGTTTTCTTCTTACACGGCAAATCCATTTGGAGATCATGACATCATCCAACTTACCAGAATAAAGTCCCCTTTTGTTTTGAGGTAGAGTACGAGTATGTTGTCATAGTAACAGCACTCTTGTCTTAGTTCCTTGTCGGCTGTCCACTCATATATCCCCACCTGAAATAATAATAGTATATAGTAATATTTAACAATTATTCGCCAAAGGCAAAGTGAATATCGGGGAATATTTACTGAGGCTGAGGCAAATAATTGTTTTAGTATAAATACACAGGTGATTCATTCAAAATATAAAAAAAGAAGATAAAAGGCATTTTTTCCCGGTAACAGCAACAAAGCGGCTGGAGGTGATTATCGTGTGATAGTGTGAGTTTCTCGACCAATCAGCATGCAAGATTTTTAATAATCACCTGTGTATTTTTACTAAAGCAATATGTAGCTTTTACTGGCATAAATGCTGTTATAGTTACTAGTGGTCATAGGCTTCCTGTGTTGGACTCCTTCAATATGGCAAATAAGGCATTTTCGTCTTTAATGGTGATTATATGAAAATTATTATTACTGTCATAACTGTTGCTGTGGCTACCAGTTGTCATGGAGATAACCATCACAGGACTGCACACTTACATTGCTATTGATTCCAGCAAGGACCTTGCCGTTGAATTCAACCAAGCTGTAAACTGCTCCCTTAACTTCTTTTTCAGCAACTTGTACAAGCTTGCCTAAATCCAAAAGAAACGTGGTTAAAAATATTTGCTATACAACATGGTGGCAATAGACCCTTTTCGAGATCCAAATTACCACTGTGTTTCTTGATTACAGACTCATTTGCTCAGGCTAAGCCTGGAATCAGTGTCTAATTACTCGCAAATACCAACGGTAAAGTAAAGAATGCACAATTTCAACAATACGAACACTTTGAAACTTGATGGACCTTGACTGGAACACGTGAATATTCTGCACAAAATCGAGGCTAAGCCTGAGCAAATGAGGCTGTAATCAAGGAAGAAAGCGGTAATTTGGAACTCAAAAAGGGTCTATTAAAACTTTCCCTCCATTCATTCATAACAATACTCTGTAATACCCATACCATACCTTACCTTCTGTTAGTTGGAAGAGAAGTAGTCTGCCTGATTTAGGTTCAGCTTCCTCAGGGAACACAAATGCCGTTCCCACGCAGTAGTATGTGTTAGGGTCATCAGATAGTGTACATGACATCAGACTCGTTGCACATTCATTATCTTTTAGCTGATGAGCATGTGTTACTGTTGGAGATAAAACAAAATCAAAGCAGGCTCATTAATAAGATACATACATGTACTACAGCTTTAGCAAGGGAGGGCACTTTATGCACATTTACATGACCTGTAACCCTTTCTATCCCAGAATTCTTTGAGTGAAAAATAACATTTTGTGGTACTGTATATGGAGATCCTGGAAAAGTTTAGTCTAATAGGCCTTTTGCAACAAACAGTCACGTGCTGATATATGACTTGAACCCCAACGAGATTGGTGTTGTATGTGAGTAGAGTTGTTTGTTTGTTCTCTCCTGTGCTTTGAGGGTTTTTCTCCAGTTTTCCTTACTTCACAAAAATCAACTTCCAAATTCTAATTTGATCTCTCCGTTGCTCTGTAATTGGCTCCCAGACATGTAAGGTCTTTGTCCACCTCAAAGTGGTAAAGTTAAAAAAATTCATAAAAATTTCATTAAAAATAATAAATTAAATACAAACAGGTACAAACCTTCAAAAGTGTGTTGGTCAACAATAAGTAGACTGCTAACTTCGATCTCATCCCCAAACGTAATACCATCAACGGCAGAATGACTAGCACCAGAAGCCCCTTCTGATGTCCCTGACATGTTGATGCTGGCAGATGAGGTTATATTATTCGTTGTCGAGCTAGCACTAGGGTGAAGAGGTACAGTCCTGCCCTGGCTTGGTTCATATACTTCGATACGTACTGATACGATGCCGAAGGATTGTGTAGCTTCTTGATATGCTATGCGCCTGAGAAAAACAGAAACACAATGATCATTATTTTCTTCCTCCGGCTTATTACTTCCAACTTGCTGTAAAATGCACAAGGCCATTAACTTTGCTGTTTCTTTGTTCTTAAAGTTAAGATTCACCATCTTAGTTATAAAGCTGTTTCCTCTATGCTACTAATCATGAGTAGACCCCTGTATTACCCCAGTACTTTTAAATCATTGGTCAAGACGTATCTCTTTACGAACGCCTACAACCTGTATTATAATTGTGTATAGAACATTTCTAAATTAACTAGTTTCATTATTTTAGAATATGTATATTTTATAGTCTCTTGTTTATTTATTTATTCATTATTTTTTTATATATTATTCATGCCTTTATTCATTTTTAGACTTTTTGTAATGCACGTTTGAAAATGTATTTTAATTGACATTTGCGCACTATAAATTAATAAATTATGATTAAATTATTACACTTACCTTGGTGATTCCCCCAAGGGTACTGTCCTTATGTGGAGTTTTTGGATTTCATCAATAGTTCCAATGGTCAAGGCACCTTCATTTGCAAGGGCAAGACTGATACAAATATAATATGTTAATGTTAATTTTTAAAAATACTATTCAATTATTGATGAAAATATACAGTAACCTGTCTTTCAAATATGTGATGAAGATTACATTGAACAAGAATATAATTATTTTTTTATTTTCTGATAAACAAATTCTCCTTTAACAACATAGTAAATAAGCAACATCCTACAAGGAGAATTGATCTTGCAATCAGGAAAAAATAATGTAATTAATGTTAGTCTTATTATAATTATACTCATGTTGTTGTTGATATTATTATCATTATTATTATCATTAATTTTATTTTTATTTTTGTTAATACTATACTATTATTATTAGTATTTTTTTAAGTACCTGTCTGGATAACCTTTTGAATTTAATGGACACATGTAATTCACTTCCTGCAAGAAGAACAAAATGTTTTAGCTCTTGACATCCCATCCACCTTGTGAAAAAGGACTTCAGGTTACCAATGAGCTTTTATCATGTCATTCCAAAACTCACAGGACAGAAGAATGGTTATCATAACTGGAAAGGGCATGATAAAATTAGAAAAACTATGATGTTTGAAGGAAGTTCAAAACTTACAAAATTTTTTTTTAAATAAAAATATTCATTGGTAGGTTAAGAGATGCCTAGCTACCAGCAGGTGTTCTTATGAAATTCACACTTTTCGAAATCACATCTTGGTGAGTTTTGAACTTTTTTTTCCAACTTCACCATTTTATTGACTTTATAATGCACCTTCCAGCTGGTGTAAATTTTTTTTTTTTCAAAATTCACACTTTTCAAAAATTATATCATCGCGAGTTTTGAACTCATTTTTTTCCAAAATTCACCGTTTTAAAAGCTGGAGTAATCATTACTTTATTTTAAGATACCTGATAAAAGCTTATTCCTTAATCGCAAATAATGAACTAAATGGAATTAAAACAAATTTACGATAAGTCTATACCTTGAGGTTGACATTAGAGAACACTAGCTTGTGATTACTGGAGTAAATCACTGTGGGCCTATCTGAGCAAGCAAACACATTCACTGTTGACAGGGACTTGAAGGTCCTTAATATGGTGGGCTGGGTGCCCAAGGTCACTTTTTTACGCTCTGATAGAACACCTGCGAAAATAAGACCACAAGGGAAACAAAATGAAATAAATTCCAATGGATGGATGGATGGATGGATGAATGGGTGGATAAATTGGTGGACAAATGGAAGGGTGGATGATGTGAATGAATATATGGATAAATGGATTGAAGGCAGGAAGGCAGGAAGGGAGGGAGGGAGGGAGGGAGGAAGGGAGGGA